GGTCTTGGGGGTCATTTTTGGGCACCTTGGGCCGTTTTTGGGCCGTTTTGGGGCTTGTTTAGGACATTTTGGGTCATTTCTGGGGTATTTGGGGTCATTCTGGGGCTCCTTTGGGACATTTTGGGGCTCATTTGGGATATTTCGGGTCATTTCTCGGGTCTTTGGGTCCATTTTGGGGCTCATTTGGGACATTTCGGATCATTCTTAGGGTCTTTGGGGCTGTTTTGGGGCTCATTTGGGCCATTTTGGGTCATTTTGGTCTCCTTGGGGCCATTTTGGGTCATTTTTGGGCTGCTTGGGGCCCTTTTGGGTCATTTCCGGGGTCTTTGGGGCCATTTCGGGGCTCATTTGGGGCCATTTTGGGGTCTTGGGGGTCATTTTGAGTGCCTTGGCTCCATTTTGGGTCATTTCTGGTTTTTTGGGGTCCATTTTGGAGCCATTTGGGATATTTTGGGTCCGCTGGAGCCATTTTGGGGTCTTGGGGGGCATTTTGAGTCATTTCTGGGTCTTTGGGGCCATTTTGGGGCTCATTTGGGACATTTGGGGTCATTCCTAGGGTCTTTGGGGCCATTTTGGGGCACATTTGGGCCCATTTTGGTGTCTTGGGGGTCATTTTTGGGCTCCTTGGGGCCCTTTTGGGTCATTTCTGGGGTCTTTGGGGCCATTTTGGGGCCATTTTGGGTCGTTTTGGGGTCTTTGGGGCCCTTTTGGGTCCTTCCTGGGGTCTTTGTGGTCATTTTGGGGCTCATTTGGGCCATTTTGGGATCTTGGGGGCCATTTTGGGTCGTTCCTGGGGTCTTTAGGGCCATTTAGGGGCTCATTTGGGCCATTTCCAGGGTCTTCGGGGCCATTTTGGGGCTCATCTGGGATGTTTTGGGGGCTCATTTGGGACATTTTGGGTCATTTCCAGGGTCTTTGGGGCCATTTTGGGGCTCATTTGGGCCATTTTGGGGTCTTGGGGGTCATTTTTGGGCTCCTTGGGGCCCCTTTTGGGTCATTTTTGGGCTCTTTGAGGCCATTTTAGGACCCATTTGGGGCTCATTTGGGACATTTCGGGTCATTTCCGGGGTCTTTGTGCCATTTTGTGGCTCATTTGGGCCATTTTGGGACCTTGGGGCCATTTTGGGTCATTCCTGGGGTCTTTGGGGCCATTTTGGGGGCTCATTTGGGCCATTTTGGGGCCATTTAGGGTCATTTGGGGGTCTTTGGGGCCAATTTGGGTTTTTCTTGGGCTCTTTGGGGCATTTTTGGGCTCCTTGTGGCCCTTTTGGGTCTTTTCCGGGGTCTTTGGGGTCATTTTGGGGCTATTTTGGGTCATTTTGGTGTCTTGGGGGTCATTTTTGGGCTCCTTGGGGCCCTTTTGGGTCCTTCCTGGGGTCTTTGGGGCCATTTTGGGGCCATTTTGCGTCATTTTGGGATCTTGGGGGCCATTTTGGGTCATTCCTGGGGTCTTGGGGGCCATTTGGGGGGTCATTTGGGCCACTTCTGGGACTTTGGGGTCATTTGGGCCCTTACGGGTCATTTCTGGGGTCTTTGGGGCCATTTTGGGGCCATTTTGGGTCGTTTTGGGGTCTTTGGGGCCCTTTTGGGTCCTTCCTGGGGTCTTTGTGGTCATTTTGGGGCTCATTTGGGCCATTTTGGGATCTTGGGGGCCATTTTGGGTCGTTCCTGGGGTCTTTAGGGCCATTTAGGGGCTCATTTGGGCCATTTCCAGGGTCTTCGGGGCCATTTTGGGGCTCATCTGGGATGTTTTGGGGGCTCATTTGGGACATTTTGGGTCATTTCCAGGGTCTTTGGGGCCATTTTGGGGCTCATTTGGGCCATTTTGGGGTCTTGGGGGTCATTTTTGGGCTCCTTGGGGCCCCTTTTGGGTCATTTTTGGGCTCTTTGAGGCCATTTTAGGACCCATTTGGGGCTCATTTGGGACATTTCGGGTCATTTCCGGGGTCTTTGTGCCATTTTGTGGCTCATTTGGGCCATTTTGGGACCTTGGGGCCATTTTGGGTCATTCCTGGGGTCTTTGGGGCCATTTTGGGGGCTCATTTGGGCCATTTTGGGGCCATTTAGGGTCATTTGGGGGTCTTTGGGGCCAATTTGGGTTTTTCTTGGGCTCTTTGGGGCATTTTTGGGCTCCTTGTGGCCCTTTTGGGTCTTTTCCGGGGTCTTTGGGGTCATTTTGGGGCTATTTTGGGTCATTTTGGTGTCTTGGGGGTCATTTTTGGGCTCCTTGGGGCCCTTTTGGGTCCTTCCTGGGGTCTTTGGGGCCATTTTGGGGCCATTTTGCGTCATTTTGGGATCTTGGGGGCCATTTTGGGTCATTCCTGGGGTCTTGGGGGCCATTTGGGGGGTCATTTGGGCCACTTCTGGGACTTTGGGGTCATTTGGGCCCTTACGGGTCATTTCTGGGGTCTTTGGGGCCATTTTGGGGCCATTTTGGGTCGTTTTGGGGTCTTTGGGGCCCTTTTGGGTCCTTCCTGGGGTCTTTGTGGTCATTTTGGGGCTCATTTGGGCCATTTTGGGATCTTGGGGGCCATTTTGGGTCGTTCCTGGGGTCTTTAGGGCCATTTAGGGGCTCATTTGGGCCATTTCCAGGGTCTTCGGGGCCATTTTGGGGCTCATCTGGGATGTTTTGGGGGCTCATTTGGGACATTTTGGGTCATTTCCAGGGTCTTTGGGGCCATTTTGGGGCTCATTTGGGCCATTTTGGGGTCTTGGGGGTCATTTTTGGGCTCCTTGGGGCCCCTTTTGGGTCATTTTTGGGCTCTTTGAGGCCATTTTAGGACCCATTTGGGGCTCATTTGGGACATTTCGGGTCATTTCCGGGGTCTTTGTGCCATTTTGTGGCTCATTTGGGCCATTTTGGGACCTTGGGGCCATTTTGGGTCATTCCTGGGGTCTTTGGGGCCATTTTGGGGGCTCATTTGGGCCATTTTGGGGCCATTTAGGGTCATTTGGGGGTCTTTGGGGCCAATTTGGGTTTTTCTTGGGCTCTTTGGGGCATTTTTGGGCTCCTTGTGGCCCTTTTGGGTCTTTTCCGGGGTCTTTGGGGTCATTTTGGGGCTATTTTGGGTCATTTTGGTGTCTTGGGGGTCATTTTTGGGCTCCTTGGGGCCCTTTTGGGTCCTTCCTGGGGTCTTTGGGGCCATTTTGGGGCCATTTTGCGTCATTTTGGGATCTTGGGGGCCATTTTGGGTCATTCCTGGGGTCTTGGGGGCCATTTGGGGGGTCATTTGGGCCACTTCTGGGACTTTGGGGTCATTTGGGCCCTTACGGGTCATTTCTGGGGTCTTTGGGGCCATTTTGGGGCCATTTTGGGTCGTTTTGGGGTCTTTGGGGCCCTTTTGGGTCCTTCCTGGGGTCTTTGTGGTCATTTTGGGGCTCATTTGGGCCATTTTGGGATCTTGGGGGCCATTTTGGGTCGTTCCTGGGGTCTTTAGGGCCATTTAGGGGCTCATTTGGGCCATTTCCAGGGTCTTCGGGGCCATTTTGGGGCTCATCTGGGATGTTTTGGGGGCTCATTTGGGACATTTTGGGTCATTTCCAGGGTCTTTGGGGCCATTTTGGGGCTCATTTGGGCCATTTTGGGGTCTTGGGGGTCATTTTTGGGCTCCTTGGGGCCCCTTTTGGGTCATTTTTGGGCTCTTTGAGGCCATTTTAGGACCCATTTGGGGCTCATTTGGGACATTTCGGGTCATTTCCGGGGTCTTTGTGCCATTTTGTGGCTCATTTGGGCCATTTTGGGACCTTGGGGCCATTTTGGGTCATTCCTGGGGTCTTTGGGGCCATTTTGGGGGCTCATTTGGGCCATTTTGGGGCCATTTAGGGTCATTTGGGGGTCTTTGGGGCCAATTTGGGTTTTTCTTGGGCTCTTTGGGGCATTTTTGGGCTCCTTGTGGCCCTTTTGGGTCTTTTCCGGGGTCTTTGGGGTCATTTTGGGGCTATTTTGGGTCATTTTGGTGTCTTGGGGGTCATTTTTGGGCTCCTTGGGGCCCTTTTGGGTCCTTCCTGGGGTCTTTGGGGCCATTTTGGGGCCATTTTGCGTCATTTTGGGATCTTGGGGGCCATTTTGGGTCATTCCTGGGGTCTTGGGGGCCATTTGGGGGGTCATTTGGGCCACTTCTGGGACTTTGGGGTCATTTGGGCCCTTACGGGTCATTTCTGGGGTCTTTGGGGCCATTTTGGGGCCATTTTGGGTCGTTTTGGGGTCTTTGGGGCCCTTTTGGGTCCTTCCTGGGGTCTTTGTGGTCATTTTGGGGCTCATTTGGGCCATTTTGGGATCTTGGGGGCCATTTTGGGTCGTTCCTGGGGTCTTTAGGGCCATTTAGGGGCTCATTTGGGCCATTTCCAGGGTCTTCGGGGCCATTTTGGGGCTCATCTGGGATGTTTTGGGGGCTCATTTGGGACATTTTGGGTCATTTCCAGGGTCTTTGGGGCCATTTTGGGGCTCATTTGGGCCATTTTGGGGTCTTGGGGGTCATTTTTGGGCTCCTTGGGGCCCCTTTTGGGTCATTTTTGGGCTCTTTGAGGCCATTTTAGGACCCATTTGGGGCTCATTTGGGACATTTCGGGTCATTTCCGGGGTCTTTGTGCCATTTTGTGGCTCATTTGGGCCATTTTGGGACCTTGGGGCCATTTTGGGTCATTCCTGGGGTCTTTGGGGCCATTTTGGGGGCTCATTTGGGCCATTTTGGGGCCATTTAGGGTCATTTCTTTGGGGTATTTTTGGGGTCCTTTGGGGTATTTTGGGGTCTTTGGGATATTTTGGGGTCTTTGGGGTATTTTGGGGGTCTTTGGGATATTTGGGGGTCCTTTGGGGTATTTTTGGGGTCCTTTGGGGTATTTTGGGGTCTTTGGGATATTTTGGGGGTTTTTGGGGACATTTGGGGGTTCTGGGGACATCTTGGGCTCCTTGGGGACATTCTTGGGACTTTGGGGTCCCTTTGGGTCCCCTGGGGTCACTTTGGGGTCTTTGGGGACATTTTGGGCTGCTTGGGGACATTTTGGGACATTTCTGGGTCTTTGGGGACATTTTGGGGCTCATTTGGGCCA